CACAGGAGGAGGAAGAGGAGAGGAGGACTGCAGATGCAGAAGCAAGAGTAGTGAGGACAGAACAGCAGTAGAGGAGCGCAGCTCAGAAGAAAGGGCAGTGAGTAGACAGGAAAGACAAGGTACAGGAAGGGAGTGCAGATGGAAGAAAGTGCAACAAGGACAGGGGAAAACCAAGAAAAGTGGAGGGCAGATGCAGAACAAAGCGGAGTGAGAACTGATAGAAGACAGAAAAGGAAGAGTGCAGATACAGAACAAAGCAGTGAGGAGACAAAGAAAGACGACCAAGAGAGGAGTTTAATTATGCAGAAGGAAGAGGAGTGAGGATACAGGGAAGAAAGAACAGCAGAAGAGGAGAGAAAATGCAGGGGAAAAGGAAGAAAGGACACAAGGAAGAAAGAGCAGAAGAAGAGTGTGGATACAAACAAAAGAGCAATGAGGATAGACAGAAGACTGAACAGCAGAAGAGATGCAGCAGAAAAAGGAACGACTAAACAGAGAAGAAAGAATAGCTGGATAGGTGTTCAGATACAAGTGAAAGAGCAGAGAGGATATGGGGAAGAAAGAATAGAAGAACTGGAGTACATATGCAAAAGAAAAGAAGAGAGGAAAGAGCAGAACAGTAAAGCTGACACAGCAGTGAGCAGTAAGGGGATGGGGAAGAACAACAGTAGGAGTGCAAGTGTACAAGGAAGAATATTGTGGATACAGAAGAATGAACAGCAGATGGGGAGTGCACATGCAAAGAGCGAGGAAGCAAGGAACAGAACAGCAGAAGCAGAAAGAGGAGCGAGGATACTGGGGAAAAACAGCAGAAGAAGAGGGATGCAGATAAAAGAGCAGCGAGGATACAGGGGAGAAAGAAAAGCAGGAGTGTAAAGCTGATGTAGACAACAAAGGAGTGAGGAGGCAGGGGAAAAACAGCAGGAGAGAAATGCGGGTGGAGAAGAAAGAGGAGCGAGGGCACAACAATAAACAGCAGAAGAGGAGTGAAGATGCAGGTGAAAGAGCAGGGAGGAGAAGCAGTAAGAAAGATCAGCAGTGGTGGGCAGATGCAGACAAAACGGGAGAGAAGATAGGATAAAGAAAGCCAAGCAGAAGGGGAGTGCAGGTGCAGAACAAAAGGCAAGTGAGGATACAAGGAGGAAAGGAGAGCAGAAGAGGACTGCAGCTGCAGGTGGATGAGAAGGGAGAAGACAGGGATGAAAGATGATGAGTGTGCTGCAGAAAAAGGAGAAGTGAGGTTACAGGGGAGAAAGGACAGCAGAAGAGAACAGACGCAGAAGAAAGAGGAGAGTGGAGAGAGAGAAGGAAGGAAGAGCAGAAATGGGGCTCAGATGCAGAAGAAAGAGGAAGGGGGGAAGAAAGGAAAGCAGAAAAAGAGTGCAGATGGAGAAGACAGGAGAGAAGACAGGGAAGAAGTAGGAGAAAATGATGACTGCAGATGCAGAGTAAAGAGCAGAGAGAAAGTGGAAAAGAAGCAGCTAAAGAAAGAGGACTGAGGATTCGGGGAAGGAAGAACTGCAGAAAGGGAGCGTGAATGCAGAAGAATCAAATGAGTGAGGATAAATAGAAGACAGAACAGGAGGAGTAGAGCAGCAAATGAAAGAGTGAGGATTAAAGGAGGAAAGAACAGCCTCCAGCAAAGGGGAGAGCAAACAGAGAAGGAAGATGCGTGAGGATACAGGGAAGGAAAGAACAGCAGAAGAGGAGAGCAGATGCAGAATACAAAGCAGTGAGGATACAGAGAAGAATGAACAGCACATGTGGAGTGCATATGCAGAAGAGGAGCGAGGAAACAAGGAAGAAAGAACAGCAGAAGAGGAGGGAGGATGCAAGGGAAAAAACAAACAGGAGAGTGAGAATGCAGAGGAAAGAGCAGCGAGAATACAAGGCAGAAGGATCAGCCTTAGGAGAGTGCAGATGCACAAGTGAGGATAGAGGGAAGAAAGGACAGCAGAAGAGTAGTGCAGATGCAAGTGACAGAGAGAAAAGGCAGGGGAAAAAAAGCAGCAGAAGAGTGCAAATGGAGAAAGAGAGAAAAGAGAAGAAAACAGGAGCAGAGTGCAGAGACAGATGCAGAAGAAAAAGGAATGATTATACAGGGAAGAAAGATTAGCAGGAAGAAAGAATAGCAGAAGAGGAGTTCAGATGCAGAAGAAAGAACAGGGAGGAAGCACAGAAAAATGAGTGGGAGAAGAGTGCAGATGCAGATGCAAAACAAGTGAGGAGACTGTAAAGAAGATCAGAAGACGTGGGGAGATGCAGAAGAATGGAGTGAGGACAGAATGAAACAAGAACAGCTGAAGGGGAGTGCAGCTACAGAAGAACGAGAAGTACGGAAAAAGGACAAAAGTACAACAGAAGAGCAGTGTTGATGCAGAGGAAAGAGGAGCGAGGAGGCAGGGAATGAAGAAGTGGAGAAGCAGAGGAAGAATGCAGAAGAAAGAGGAGAGAGGACAGAGAGAAAAAACGAACGGCAGAAGAGGAGTGCAGGTGAAGGAAGAGTGAGAATATGGAGAAGAAAAAATAGCACAATAGGAGCCATGATGTGGAGAATTAATAGCCAGCTGAAGAGGAGCAAGGACAGAGGGAAGAATTACTCAAAGAGCAGAGGACAGCACAGAGAGAGAAGTGCAGAGCAGATGAGCCGCTGCTGCAGGAGGATGAAATAATGCAGAAACAGGGCAGAGGAGTGAGGAGGAGAAGAGGAAAAGAGCAGGAACAGGCAGGGGAGAACTGAGAGGAGGGAACAGAGGAGCAGGAAGTGCAGGAGGAGGAAGAGGAGAAATAACGGTGCAGAGAAAAGAAAGAAAAGGACAGGAAAAAAGAATAGGGAGGAAGGCAGCAGAGAGGAGAAGTTAGAAAAGACAGAAAAGAGAAGGGAGGGAAGGGATTGCAAAGGTAGAAAGGAGGAGAAACAGACAAGAGAGAAGTTCAACCCAAGAAGAACTAAAGATAGAAGAAGTGGGAAGTCACGTGCAGAGAGAAGAGGTGAGAGCAAATTCAGTCACTGACAGAAGAAGAAAAAGGAACGTTAGGAACTGTCAGTCTCTATGAAAGCTGGATTCTTTGCAGGACATGCCGTGCTTGTTCTGCTTTTGCTTTTTTGCATTGCTTGCATTCTTGTAGACAATTGAACAACTCAGAACGGTCAGGAACATTCTCAGAACATGATTTGTGACGTCCCCTTAATCTCAGCTGCTCTGAAATACCCAACTGCTATCAAGCGAGAGTCACCTCCTTCCAGGCACCCTGCAAATGCAGCTTCAAGTGTCTCACTTTTAAACACTCACCTTCACGAAGGAACAAAGATGATCCCATACTGGGCTCAGAATCCTCCTCTGCCATCCAGCGCATCCATTTCCCAGCAGGACACCATCAGTGTGTTGTCAGCTGTGCCCATGCCCTCACAAAGCAAAACAGCCACGGACAGCTGCCTGCAGAGCCCTTGGAGCAATCCCCGACAGACACAGAGGCTGCAGGCGTCCGCAGTCCCTGACGTGCTGGGAGCTGATGTCTCTGGGCCCAGTGCACAGCAGCATTTCCTTCCATGCTTTCAGGCCTCCTGACAGCAAACCTCTGCTCCAAAGCGTCCTTTGGCCAAGGAATTTGTGCCACCAAGCACAGCGCTTTCTCACCTGACCGCATCCAGAAAGCATAAAATCAGGCAAACTGTGTCATCCTCCCAAGTGCTGCCGTTTCCACAGACTGCTGGCACTGCACAGCTAACAGCTGCCACTGACAACCAGGAGGGGCTTCTGTGGGGGCCAAGGCCAGAGGCGCGGCAGCTGCAAACAGAGGCAAGAGCAGACACAGCTTTAAGTTACCCGAGAAACACAAAGGACTCAACCCAGGAAATCTCCACAGAACTGCTGACCCCATTCTGAGCAACAGGGCGCACAAAAAAGCAGAGCTCCTTCCCTGCAGGCAGCCAGCCCTTCCATGAGCCTCCCCCTTAGGGAGGGGGGAACCAGGCTGCACCCCTTGGTCATGCAACTGAACGGCTTCCACTGCTCTCCACAGCACAACAGGCTTGGTTGCAGATCAAAGCCTGTGATGTAAAAATAAATACATAAACGTTTTCCTGCTTCTTTCTCATCTGTGTCATCTGACTGCTGTTGGAACCCAGCGCACTTACAGGGCCTTGCAAATGACAGCTGGAAGCAGCTACATCCAGCACGCACAGCACCCTGCAAGCTCCAGGTGAGTGACAGCAGCCAAGGAGGCCTCTGGGCTCTGCAGGGTCCGAGTGTGGAGCATTGCACACAGGAACAGCTGAGCATCAAGTTGAAGGCACAGCTCCAGAACTAGCCAGCACAAAGAAGCACAGTGGCACAGCTCATTTCCCACACAGGAAGAGCCGTGACGAAAATGCACATCTGTTCAGCTTTCCTCTCCTGTCCCTGCCTTCTGCCCCATCAGACGGGAGGAACGGCCACGCTTCCACAGACAGGTTCCTCTCACAGCCCGCACCCCTCGGCGTGGAGCATTCCCGGCTGCAGGACAGAAACAACAGCTCTGGCCACGCACCATCTGCCAACTGCCATCTTCCTCTGCACATCGCTCCTAGTCATTAGTTGAGCAAACACCATCCTGTCGGCAAACTTTGCTCCTTATGCACTCATTAGAAAACCAAAAGCAGCTCCATCCCAACACTTATCCACTTCCAGAGTGCTAGGACTCCCATCTCGCACGCACGCTGCGGTTTTCAGCCTAGGCTTGTAGAAACAAAGCCAGAAAATTCCACTCCGCTCAGTACAAAGCTCTGCAATGATGAGAGTCACTCAAGCTCCGCCCCAAAGGGTGAAAAGTAGCATCAAAATATCTGAAGAAAGGGGGGACGATGAAGGAAGGCAGCACTGCAGAGAAGTCAGGAGAACAGCTCTGCCTTCCGGGATCAGGCGGCCAGCGGAGCCTCTCTTCCCCCAGCAGAGACGCCTGCAGGCTGAGGGGCACACGCTCACTTTGCTCAGTGCTGCCCCGAGAAAGTCAGACGGCTCTATGGAGCTGCTCTCTAACTGCTCAGACAGTGCGTCTGTGGGCAGGGCCCAGGATTGGTGCGTCCATTGCTTCTGTACCCTGCAGCATTCCCTGATGGAGCTGTGGCAGTTCTGACCCAGCGCCGCCAGAGGAACAACGAGGAGGTGGTGGGATAACGAGGAGGTGGTGGGAATAACGAGGAGGTGGTGGGATAACCAGGAGGTGGTGGGATAACCAGGAGGTGGTGGGATAACGAGGAGGTGGTGGAACAACGAGGAGGTGGTGGGATAACGAGGAGGTGGAGCAATAACCAGGAGGTGGAGCAATAACCAGGAGGTGGAGCAGCAGCTCACTGGGTGCCGCTGGACAAATCAGGCCATGCGCTCCTTGTGAATGCAAAACTCCAATTGTTTATTGATGGATTGAAACCAGAGTGCCAAGTTGGGCTGCTGCCACAAAGCCGCTGCCTGCTGATGCTCCTCCGCTCAGTCCTTCAGCTGCAGCTTCTCCATCATCTCCACAAGGCTGTTCATGGTGGAGAACTGGAAAGAAACAAGGCAAGTGTCAAAGCAGCACACCGCTTCCCCCAGTATTCCACAACCCCCTTCATGTCTGACAGACAGAGAACAAGAGCCGTGTCTGTGCTCGCCAAGGACTCACCTCTGCATGTGCAGCAGCAGCTCTGAGAGCAGCCTTCTTCATTTCTGCTCTCCTTTCTTTCTGTCGTCGTCGTCTTTCTAGAGAGCAAGAGAAGAGAAATTCAGTTTGTCAATAGCAAAACCACGGAAACACGGGTACCACGACAACAGCCTGGGAAATCTCTCAGGAACGGGTATTTGCAGTGGGACGAGCAGAGGGCCATCGTGGGCTTCATGGGAAAAGATAGGATGACACATTCTGGCACATCCTTTGGACTTGGTAGCCTTCTCCTCTTTGCCCCTCCCTGCAGAAGGGAAGAAAAAGCAAAGCAAACCCCAAGCAAACTCCACGTGCTTGACAAGGGAAGCACCTCAGCAGGGCAGCTGCAGCATCTTCTTACCTCTTCGCTTTGAGGTCCGGAACCTCTCGGTCGGCACTGGGGCAGGCCCAGGCTGTGCTGATGGAGCTGGCACAGCACCTCTGCTCTGATGAGGGCTCTGAGCCTTCTCCCCATTGTGCTCCACTTTCACTTGTTTGTTGGCAGGTCCCAGCTCTGCCTCCTGCTCCTCCTCTTCCACTCCCTTGCGCTTTCTTGCGACCACGATCTTGGAGGAGGAGCAGTTGGCAACTGCAGGAGCAGCTGTTCCCCCTCTGCTGGGACCTGCTGCTTCAGGAAGCCCTCCAGCCTGGAGAGGAGTTTGCACGGAGCTTTCGCCATTTGGCTCAGCACCTCTCCCTGTTAGAAACAAGAAAGGGGAAGCAGCAACATGTAATGAGTCCAGCACTACCTGCAGTCTGCAAAACAGGCCACGATACTAGGAAATCTCATCTCCAGTGTTCACAGCAATGCACCTTAGGATCTTGGCTGAACTGTGGGCTTGCATTGGCAATTGGGACAGGAAAGGTAATTGGAATCCCCAGGGATTAAGACCTCAAGCAACATGCAATGACAACAGTCCCAGGAAAGGGCAGACAGAAAGCCTAACTAGAAAGACAGGGCACCAAACCCAGATGCCTGCTGCGTGTCCTACCTCTCTTGGGTGCTGGGCCACTCTCCTTGCTCCTCCCCTGCCTCCCTGCAAGCCTGTTGTCATCAGCTCCTGACAGAAAGGAAACGAGACAGACATGAAGAGCATCTCTGTGCAGGAACATTTTAGCACAGCCAACCACAAACTTCTGCTCCTCAAGCGTCGTTTCTTCAATCTGCCCTTCTGCTGCTCCAATGGTCCGCCATTTCTGCAGTCAGCAGACATCTGCAGGGCCCTTTCCCCTCTCCTCCATCACACGCCCCTTCACGCAGCCCTGTTTACAGGCAGTACCCACACCACAGCTCACAAGAGCTTCTTACCTGGGGAGGCTTTCCGTTTCCCCCCATGCCCAGCACCATTCCATGGACGCGCAGGCTCCGTCCCTACAACAACAGATGGAGTGTTGGTTTCCCAGGAGCAGCGCTGTCCTGTTAGCCCACATCCACCCCAAAACCAAAAGACACTGTTCTACAGCCAGAACAGAAGCTGATGGTTAAACTGCAGTGCGCTTACACAAAGCATTACTGCTCTCACTCCTGCTCAGGTGGCAGCAGAGGAACCCAGGGCTGCCTGACAGCTCTGCATTCTGCAGAGCAAAGCTGCTTCAGCAAACAAAACGCTACAAAACGCTGCACAAGTTGAGACATGGATTTTTTGGTCTCTACAGGGAATTCATTCAGCTCTGAGCGCCACCACTTACACACAGACTTCTGTCTTACTGCTGCCATCAGCTGTCACTGTCAGCCTCCCCAATGCTTCCACAATGGCTACTGGACATCCCTACAGCACTGCACCAACTCACAAGTAACACTCATTCTTCCATCCTTCATGACAGAGGACTGAAGAGACTCACTTGTGCATGGTGCTAAGGATGCTCCGTCCCCATCGCGTCCCTCTGCGCGCTGCAAGGCCCAGCTGGCACTGGGGCAGCCTGCTGGCTGCTGCTCCCTAGCATGGGGAACAGCACGGCGCTGCTTCTGAGGAGAGAAAAAAGGAGGGCCATGGATACAGGCACCAACGTTTGCAAAGAGATGCAGTGTTCCAGATCGTGCCAGAGAGCGCTGAGTTCTCACTAAAGGAAACACTGGGAGCGCATTCACAACATCTGCACAAGCTGCAATTGCTGGGCATATCCAGCTTTCTTATCGCTCAGGTGCAGCAGACAGGCGCTCTCAGACAGCACTGCAGGGCTTGCACCAACACACCTGCAAACACCAGCATTCTTCCAAGGGAAACAGGGTCTTCAGGTGCCACAGCTCAACCCGTGCAAAATTACCGTGCGCAGCCTTAGCTCTGCACCATCATTCCTTCCCCACCCTGTCCTGCTGCAGGCAGCTAGAACAAACTTCTCAGCAGAAACCAGAGCAAACGTGGCAAACCATAACCAGGTACAGATGGCAGGAGGGCAGCGCCCGCTCTCGGCTCCCACCCTGCCCCACCAGGTGAAGGAGCCTGGCCATGCTGTCCTTTTGCTGCACCGCACAAGCCCACTGGTTACTGAGCTCCCTAAGGACCAGCAGGGCTCCCCCTGCTCCACCCCTTCCCCTCCAAAACCAGAGAAAGGAAGAAAACCCAAGTTAGAGAAACCCAGCCATACCTTTCCACGCGCAAAGCAGGAATGGGAACCGCGTCTGTGTCCCTGCTGGGACATGTGGGGAACGTCTCAGAGGAAGCTCACGTTCCTGGGGTCCTCTCCACAGGGACTGACCCCCCGCTGGTGGAAAGAGCTGGCTTCACTCTTCAACTGCCTCAGTCCCCAACACCTCCTTTTGTAAACCAACCCTGAAGAAAGAACCTGCAAGTGAAAAACAGGAAAAAGCATTTTCCCAGCTTTCCTCTGCTATGCAGTTTAAGCTATCGGGCAGGGCAATACTCCAAACCAACTACTAATGAGAACTGTCTCCCAAATACACCCAGCTCCCGTGCAGCTGCCATGAGTTCTGACAGCAAGCGTTCTTCTCCATCTCCTCCATAGTTTTGCACCTTGAAGCACACGGCTGGTGTTGCTGTCGTGAAGAAAACTCCTTTTGTCTCAGCGCCAGCCTGGACAAGGGCTGACGCAGCTGCCCACCCCAGCCCAGCTTTCCTGCTGAGACACCCAGCACCAACCCCAGCTCACCTGGCCACTGCTCAGCCGGAGCTGTGCCCAGCTCTCACACACGCCGCAGCGCTGCTTCCAGTGGGCTCTCACAGGAAGATCTCTCCATGACAGCACAGAGCTCGGTCTCAGTGTGCACCACGCTCACTAGAGCACCAGCTCTGCTCCCAGCTGGGGCACAAACGCTCCCAGCCCGGCAGCCACTGTGACCTCAGCGAGTGCCTGCATCACCGCTGTGCTTGCATCATAGACAAAGGAGTGGTCACCTCCCAGACCCAAAGTTTAGGGAACCTTGAAGTATTTTACTGACTTGGAAGTATTTCACTTTACTTACTTCAGAAATTGCACACAGAGATGGCATGTTTTGCTATTCTTTCACACAAAGCAGAAGGGCAAAATGGGAGATACGTGCAGCAGCATCCACACCCCAGTTGCTAAAGGAATAGAAAGACAAATATCAAAAGTCAATACGTGATTCTGATCCAAGGAGGGAAGCTAATCTTCAGATCACTTGTTATCATTTAAAACAGGCACTCACAGTGGGAAAATCGTAGGCCTCAAATTCTGACATAAAATAAAGCCACAGCCCTGCCACGAAGGCTGCCTCATCAGCACCCATTACCACAGCAGCACCTGGCAACTCACGCAAAATGAGCCGTGCTTTTTCATTATTTGAACCTTGCTCTTTTTGCTTGTGTTTTGTCTCATTTTTCAGTATGTTTCCTTTCCTTTCCCTTTCCTTTTCTTTTTTTTCCTCTTTTGTTTTGTTTCCTTTGTTTACTTCCCAGCCCACTGAAGTCACAATACATCCACCTACTGACCCCCTTTTATCCCTTCCATCTTCTTGTTATCTGCTCCTCTCCAGGGTCCTTTTCTCCTTGCATTACCCTATAGCGCCCCCGTAGCCCCATATTACCCTGTATTTCCCTATAGCCTATGCAAGTACTCTGTAGCTCCCCCACAGCCTTTTATATGCTTATATCTCTTTATATCTGTAAAATCAATGAATATACAGTTGTTATAATTAAGAAATATAGAGCAAAGTCAGGCTAAACAAGCTACCACACCGAAGAAGAATGGATGGGAAGCTTGCCCTTGTCCTGGACTCACTGAGCAGACTCCAAGAGGAGCAATCTCCACAAGAGATCCTTCCCCACCAGCAGTCAGCTCTTAAATGGGTCTGGGAGAGGTGCAGCCAGGCTCCCCTTCCGGCAGCACAGGAGCACTGCCTTCATCTGTGCTTACAGGGCTGACTCGGTGCTCGCCTCAGGTGGGCAGTCAGAGGCTCAGGCCGCGACTCAGCAGTTCCCATACAGCACCCCTCCGCAGCCCCCTGTCGCACCTCTTTCTCCATATCACACCTACAGCCACCTCCCTGCAGCCCCAAGTCCCCTTCTATTCCACCTATGTTTATTGAACCATACTCTCTTTTTTCCTCCTCCCAGCCCTTTACAACCCTCCCCATAGCTCTCCCCAGACCCCTGTAGCCCACTATCACCCTGTATCACTTCACAACCTTCCTGTAACCCCACATCCCACCAATATTGCCCCATCTCCCGTTATAACTCCCTATAGTCCCTGTATTTGCACCTATATAGAATCATAGAATCACCAAGGTTGGAAAAGACCTAAAAGATCACCCAGTCCAACCGTCCACCCATTACCAACAGCTCCCACTGAACCATGTCCCTCAACACAACATCCAGCCTTTCCTTGAACACCCCCAGGCTCGGTGACTCCACCACCTCCCTGGGCATCCATTCCACTGCCTGACCACCCTTTCTGAACAGTAACACTTCCTCATGTCCAGCCTGAATCTCCCCTGCCGCAGCTTGAAACCATTCCCTCTGCTCCTATCACTGATGACACGAGAGCAGAGGCCGACCCCCAGCTCACTACAGCCTCCCTTCAGGCAGTCATAGAGAGCAGTGAGCTCTGCCCTGAGCTCCTCTTCTCCAGGCTGAACATTCCCAGCTCCTTCAGCCTCTCCTCAGCAGCCCTGTGTTCCAGACCCCTCACCAGCTTTGTTGCCCTCCTTTGAACATGTTCCAGGGCCTCGCTACCCCCAGGCAGATCCACACTTCCAGCCAATTGGTGTCATCTTCGAATGTACTGAGGGTGCACTCGATGCCCTCATCCAGGTCATCAATCAAGATACTGAAGAGGACAGGCCCAGCACCGACCCCTGGGGAACACCGCTCACGACCGGTCGCCAGCTGGATTTCACTCCATTCACCACCACTCTCTGAGCCCGGCCCTCCAGCCAGCTCCTCACCCAGCCCAGAGAGCAGCCATCCAAGCCTCGGGCTGCCAGCTTCTGCAGGAGATGCTGTGGGAGACAGTGCCAAAGGCTTTGCTGAAGTCTAGGTAGAGCACATCAACAGCCTTTCCCTCATCCACCAGACGGGTCACAGATCATAGAAGGAGATCAGGTTGGTCAAACAGGAGCTGCCCTTCACGAACCCATGCTGGCTAGGCCTGATCCCCCGCTCATCCTGCACATGCCGTGTGATCTGCTCCATCACCTTCCCTGGCACCGAGGTCAGGCTCACAGGCCTGTAGTTCCCCGGATCCTCCTTACGACCTTTCTTATAAATGGAGTCACATCGGCAAGCCTCCAGTCTTCTGGGACCTCACCAGCCAACAAGGAGCGCTGACAGATGATGGAAAGCGGCTCGGCTCTCACCTCCGCCAGTTCCCTCAGCACTCTCGGGTGGATCCCATCTGGCCCCATCGCCTTGTGGCAGCCCAGTTGGAGCAGGAGGTCTCTGACTGTTTCCTCCAGAATCACAGGGGGGTTCGTGTGCTCCCCAGCCCAGATTACCAGGTCAGAGAGAGGAGCATCCTGAGGATAACTGGTCTGACTTTTAGAGACAGACGTAAAGAAGGCATTCAGAACCTCCGCCTTTTCCTTATCCTCAGTGCTCACATTCCCAGCCTCATCCAGCAAAGAGTGGATGATATCTGGACCCTGTAGCCCCACATCCCTCCATAGCCCACCTTATACCCCCATTCATCCCCCCACAGCCCCTCCCAACCCCCCCGTGCTCCCCATAGCACTGTTTCCCCATAACATCCTCACAGTCCCCTATTGCCCCAAATCCCCCATATCCCCCAATTCCCCACCACAGCCCACGATAATCCACACGCCTCCCTATACCTCACAGCTTTCTGTAGCCCCCACTCCCCCATATCCCTCCCCAGCTCTCCACAGCTCCCTCTCCCCCCTCTATTTCCCCATTATTCCCTTATATCTCTCCCACAGCTCCCTGTCGCCTCATATCCACCCCATATTCACAGCCCGTCCCGTATTTATCCCACTTCCCCACATCCCGTCCTGTCTGCATCCGCGTCCCAGTCCCACTCCCAGCCCCTCACCCCGCATGAAGCCAGGTTACGGCTGCCCAGGCGTCCCCTGTCCCGGTGCCGCTCGCCGTTCCCCCAGCTCCGGCGCCTCTGTCCTCAGCACCGCGGCGCTCGTGCCGCGGTTCCATCTCGGTGCTTCCGGGCAGCTCCGGCGCACAGCAGCGGCGTCGCGCGGGGCGACCCGGGCTGCGGGAGCAGCAGCGCCTGAGGGGAAGGCGGGGCGGATCCGACCCGGCTGCTAACGGCCGTTCCCGCGCGCCGCGCCTCAGCCAATGGGAGCCGGCGGCGCCGCCACTGACCAATGGGAGCCCGGAGGCAGGACAGAGCTGCACCGGACCAATGAGAGCCCGGGGGCGGGGAGGTGCGGGGCCGTTGATAGGAGCAGCACTGGCATGGGGCGGGACTTCGGCGTGCGCCCTATTGCTATAGGGGGTGGGAGATGGGATTGGGATTGACAGGTGGGAGATGGGGATGGGATGTGGGATTAGAATGCGAAATTTCGGATCGGGATGTGGGATATGGGATGGTTATGGAATGGGAGATCGGAAATTGGAGTATATATGGGATGGGCCCTGGGTATGGGATTAGGTTGGGATGGATGTGGGATCAACAGGGGAAGAGTGTGGGATGGACTGGGGAAGAATATGGGGCCGGGGTGATAATGGGCTGGATAAGTGTACGGGGACTGCTGAACCACAGCCTGAACCTCTGACCGGGCACCTGAGGCCGGCCCTGAGTCAGCCATGGGAGCACAGGTGAAGGCAATTCATCTGCGCTGCTGGGAGTGGTGGAGCCTGGCTGCACCCCTCCGAGACCCATTTAAGAGCTGACTGCCAGGGGAGAAGGATCCGTTCTGGTGATCCGCTCCACTGGAGTTTACCGCATGAGCCTAAGGTAGGTGAGTGTCCTTCTTTTCTGTTCTGGTATAACTGCATAAGCTGAGCTCTCGGGTATGCTGTGTCATCTGTATGCTCATTGATTGTATGGTAATGTATGGAATGGATGTGGGGATATGGATTTAGGATGGATATGGGATAGAAGATGGGGATAGGATGTGGGGGTATAGATATGGGATGGAATCAAGATGGTTATGGGGTGGATATGATGGATGTGGGATGGGATTGCTATGAGATGGGGTTGTTGTGGTTATGGGGCCATAGGGGCTATGGGGCCAGAATGCTGTAGTGGCATCTGTCTGCAAAGTTCCCCCTGCAGTGTGAGATGTGGAAAAGGCATCTCCTCCTTGGGATGGGACTGCCCCAAAGAAGCCGCTGGGGGGGCTGCAGCCGTACGTCTCAGTTTGGAGAGCTGGGAGCTGGCCAAAGGGGCAAGAAGGACATGAATGCTTCTGTAGGGAAATAACTGTCACAAGGTTTGGTGGGCAGGAAGCTTCTGTTTCTCTAAGCGGACGAGAAGAGAACAAACCGATCCCATTGAGACTGGGGAAGGGACTGGAGCTTGGCTGCTGTGGTGCTGTGGGGCAGTGAACCAGGAACGGAGCTGGGATGGACTTGCTGTTGATGGTTGTTTATGTCAGAAAAGGCCTCTTAATTAGCAATGTGAGAACAATGAGGACCTCAAACATTGCTTCTTCAAACTGTTTAAACACGATCAAGCAAAATTTAGTCAAATATCGAAAGCCTCTGTAATGACTGCATGCTCATTCAGCATCAGTAAAGGCTTCTAGTGAGTTCTGGGGCTACGGCTGGATCCGTGTTGAAGGACACAGCGATCAGTAACACCAGCCTTACCAAAAGGTGCAGGGCCCTAGAATTCCTTTTGTTCCAGCCAGAGGTAACACAGCAATTAACAACCAGCATGAGCACAGTGCAGCGCTTGTGTGCGCTCTGTGAGCTGAGCTCATCAGTGACACCAGCTGTGCTGTCAGACAGCTGGGCTCCTCACTGCCCTTCACAGCAGCCCTGCAGAGGCAAAGCGTTGTTTCTGTTGGTGATGGAGGCCTCTGTGGCCGAAACAGGGATTCCTGTGCTCTGTCACAGCATCACAGGTTTATTGGCTCCTTCCTGTCCAAGCTACGCACGACATCTCATAGAAATATTATCAGTTCATCATCTTTCTTTTTCTTTTTCTTTGGCTATCCAGAGGTTAGCAACAGTTACGTTTGAATTAACCACGTGAAGGGAGCTTATGAAATATTTTTCACATGTGTGGAAAGCCATTTTAGCATCATTCCACCCATATTAACCATATGGGTGAGTCATAACAAGGAAGATTTGTAGAAGCCACAAAAAGACAAATGGAAGAATGGCAGTTGTTTACCCTGAAGGCAAGCAGAAATAAAAGATCGTTGCAAAAAGGAATACATTGTTTTCCAAGGCTGTGGTGATGAGGACAAAATGCAGTGGGCATAAACTGTCCCAAAGTACTTAAATGATGTATCAGATCTTGAGACATGGGAGGCTTCAGTACGATCACACCATCAGCTTCGTGCCAGGCCGTCAGATGCCCACCCCCTCTTCCCTTTCCTTCCCCATCGTAGCTTTTCCCACTTTTAATTCCTTCTTTAAGACGGATGGCAGCCAATGTTCGTGCTTCCTTTGAAGGGGTCTCATTATGCCCAAGGCTCTGCAATTACATCTTCAAGCAGTTTGAACCACTCTTTCCCTTTTTCTGGCACTGGCAAGAAGTTTCCACATGAATCATGGCTTCTCTATAAATGCTTTCGTTTCCTGGCCCATATAGCACACGACAGCCTGCAGTAGATACAGTGCAGTTTATTTCTTTAAAGTAAAGGAAGCCACGTTACGATGCTGGCATCCCATGGTGCTAATATGCACTGTCGTCATACACGAGTGCTGTGTGAGCAGCAAATTCTGAGCTCGTCTTCTTTGCCTGGTGCAAACTTCCCTTTCCTTTCCAAATCCACATCTGCCCATGTTGCTCTGCTATTTTCATTTAGAGAAGTGGAGCAGAAAGCCACAGAGAGGAAAATGTACATGAATAAGCTCCTAATGCAGTCCAGCTACGGCATGACTACAACTGGGCTCAACGTGTTCGTTCTCCACATATTACACTAGAGGTCACACAACACCCAATTTGTTTCCTTGACTTTCACATTTCCTACTCCCATGAATGTAATTCCTGCCAGTTTTCTCTGCTGTCGGTCGTTGCTGTGCCACACATCTCTTCTCCAGCAGGCTCAGCCTGATTGTACCGCTGCTGCATTCTGTGTGTCTGCCAACAACTGGGGATCAAACTTTCCCCCAGGCCTGGTTTCCATTTCTCTCTGTCATACGTGTTCATTTGTTAAGGGCAAGAAACGCTCATGTATTTCCCACTTTAAAAGGTTGGTACTTCCTTAAGAAGAGGAAGGAAGCATCCCATGAACTCGTCAAAGGCCGAGGCCGTCTTTCAGACCCCGTTTTGTATTCAGGTTTTACTTTCCCTTGTGGTGTGTCGCAGTGCTTTCAGAAATGTCCCTTTTAACTCTGACAGAGACTTGGTTGGTGCTTGCAAAGTCTTGAAATAATAGTGAGAATGAAAGGTGAAGTTCAGATTACTTTGTGAATAACTGTAGGAAAGTTGAGTATGGAAGGCAGGAGCTCAGCCTTGTTTCCAGGTATCAAAGCTTTTGCCGCATTTGGTGTCTTCAGGAATAGTTTCTCAGAGCCCACTTCCACCCGCAGCCCCGATTTTATGCCTGTGAAAGCCTGCTGAGTTCCAGTGAGCAGGTATTTCTTACACCTAGCTGAAAGCATAGCAGAGAATCCAGTTGTAATTTCTTGCACAGAACGCATGCATGTCCTCATTGCAGAGCTCCTATCGTTGTTCCCCAGCTCTGGGTGGTTTCATGTCCAATGAGGAATTTCTTTTGTGTATCTCTTACACACTCCCTCATATTAATCTTCACAGAATCACAGAATCACAGAATTGTAGGGGTTGGAAGGGACCTCAGAGCTCATCGAGTCCAACCCCCTGCCAAAGCAGTTCCTACAGCAGGTCACACAGGTCGGCATCCAGGCAGGTCTGGAACATCTCCAGAGCAGGAGACTCCCCCACCTCCCTGCAGCCTGTTCCAGTGCTCCTCACCTCACTGTACAGAAGTTCTTGTGCACATTTGTGCGGAACTTCCTATGCTGCAGTTTCCAGCCGTTTCCCCTCGTCCTGTCTCCACTCACCACTGAAAACAGTCTGGCCTCGCCATTCTGCCCCCCACACCTCAGATATTTATAGACCTGGATCAAGTCCCCTCTCAGTCTCCTTTTCTCAAGGCTGAACAGACCCAGTTCACTCAGCCTTTCCTCATAGCAGAGATGCTCCAGGCCCTTCACCATCTTCGTGGCCCTCCGCTGGACTCTTTCCAAGAGATCCCTGTCTGTTTTGTACTGGGGAGCCCAGAACTGGACGCAGTGCTCCAGATGAGGCCTTACCAGGGCAGAGCAGAGGGGGAGGATCACCTCCCTCGACCTGCTGGCCACGCTCTTTTTAATGCACCCCAGGATGCCATTGGCCTTTTTGGCCACAAGGGCACACTGCTGGCTCACGGCAACCTGTCATCCACCAGGACACCCAGGTCCCTTTCCGCAGGGCTCCCCTCCAGCAGCTCATCCCCCAACCTGTACTGGTGCATGCAATTATTCCTCCCCAGATGCAAGACTCTACACTTGCTTTTGTTAAACCTCATCTGGTTTTTTTCTGCCCAGCTCTCCAGCCTGTCCAGCTCTCGCTGAATGGCAGCACGGCCTTCAGCCAATCCTCCCAACTTCGTATCATCACAAACTTGCTGAGGGTGGCCACCATCCCCTCATCAAGGTCACTGATGAAGATGTTGAACAAGACCGGACCCAGCACAGACCCCTGAGGAACAGCGCTGCTTACAGGCCTCCAACCGGACTCTGCACCACCAACAACGACCCTCTGTGCTCTGCCAGTCAGCCAGTTCTCAACCCACCTCACTGTCCACTCATCCATCCCACTCTTCCTCAGCTTTGCTATAAGGATGTCGTGGGGGATCTCTGACTGACTGGCATCTCTCTGATTAAAATACATTGTATTAAAATGGCCACTTAAATGACCACATGAAATGAATAACAGCAAGGTTCGTTTTGGTTTCAGTGCATTTGGCTGTACAAGGAGGTATCACCCAGGTGAAACTCCCTTCACTAGGAAAGCATCACGGACACAATGGTATCATGGAACTGCTGGGCTCTGTCCAGGTACACGCCTGGAACAAAATAACAATGAAAGAAAACTAAAAGGAAAACGAAAAGGTCAAAAGTAATCGTAGAATCATCACAGAAAGAGTCAGTAAAACCCAGAGCTCACCTCATGTCTCTGTTGTAAGCACACCCACCGTTGGCAGAAACCTCACAGCATGAAGGGACTTGTAAAGAAGAGCGCTGGTTTGGATTCGCTCTTTGCACAGCGGCTGGAAGAACTGTGCACATCTCCATTACTTCTCATGCCTGTGAAAGTCGTTGTCTCGACATCGTTGCTGCCACTGCTGGTTCTGTATTGAACATGAGAACACGTGAAACCCCCATTGACTCGGTGCCCCTAAGGATTAAATGTGAAATGGCAAATGGTTCAGTCGTGTATCACAATGGAATCTGTACAGAGGATACTACACCCTAGCCCACAACCCTAACTTTAACCCAAACCCTGCCCTAAACATAACCCTAACCCTAACTCTAAACCTTACTCTAAGCCTAGCCATAACATTAATCCTAAACCTAACTCCAAACCCTAACCCTAAGCTCAACCCTAAATCTTACCATAAGTTTAACCCTCAACCAAACCCAATCCCTAACCCTAACACTACCCAAAATTAACCCCAAACTCTAACCCCAACCCTAACTCTAATGCAAACCTGAAACCTTGCTCTAAACCTTTCTGCAAATACTAACCCTCACACTAATATTAACCCAACCTGAACATCAACCCTAACCCTGACCCAGTCCCTAACCCAAAACAAACACTAACCCTAATCCTAACCTTAATCCTAACCCCAGCTGTATCCTAACCCTAAATGTAAACCTAGCACTGAACCTAACCCTAACCCTTACCCTCAAACTTAACCGAACCCTAACCCTACCCTAGCCCAAACCCTAACCCCAAGCATAACCCTAAAACTCAACACTAACACCAAACTCTAACACTAACCCTAACCTAAGCTTTCACTGCCCCAAACCTAAAACTAACTCTAACCCTAACCAAGTCCAGCAAGCCCCCTTCTTCTCCATTTGTGGCCCAGCAAGCCCCCTTTCTTCTAGTTCAGGACCCAGCAAGCACCTTCTTGTTGCTTTGTGGCGCAGCACACCCACTTCTTTCTGGGTATGGACCAGCAAGCCCCTTCCTTCTGGGTTTGAGTCCAGCAAGCCCCCTTCCTTCTGGTTTGTTGCCCAGCACTCCCCCTTTCTTCTGGGTATGGTCTTACAAGCCCTCTTCCTTCTGGGCTCAGGAGCAGCAAAACCCTTCTCTATTCATTCCAGCCCAGCAAGGACCTTTCCTTCCGGCTTTGGGCCCAGCAATCCTCATTCCTTCTGGCGTTTGACCTTTCCAGCCTCTCTTCTTCACTGTTTCAGTAGAGCAAGTCCACTTCTTTCTGGCTTTGAGCTGAGCAAGCCCTCTGCCATCGGGGTTTCTTCCTGGTGAGCCCCCTTCCTTCTCAGCTTCTGCACAGCAAGAATCTCCCTGACGGATTTGCTGCCCAGCAGGCTGCTTTCCTGCTCCATTCTGCCCCAGGAAGCCCCGTTCCTTCTGGCTGTCTGCCCAGCCCGCCACGTTCCTTCTGTGTTTTAGTCCAGCCAGTCCCTTCGTTCTGGTTTCTGGCCCAGGACAACCCCTTTCTTCTGGGTATGGAGCAGCAAGCCCCCTTTCTTCTGGCTTTGGGCACAGGAAGGCCCACGTGTACAAAGGGACTGTAAAAAGCCCAAGCAAGCAGATAAAAATGCTTGTGCTGTTCCCACTGGACCTCGTGCCCGGTGCAGGAGGGAGCCACACCGGGCGAGAGAGCGCGGATCTCAACACCCTGTTGCTGCAAGGCCCTGTGATCTGCTGGGAAACGGGAAGAAGAGCGCGATACCACACACCGTGACAGCAAATGTGGGCCTGAACTGGTTGGCCACTGCCTGGCCAGCTCACTCAGATCAGCCACCAGCAGCAGCGCAGGAGTGCATTTGCAGCAGATGATCAGGATCGTTCACAGCTGAGCATCAGACACAGCACAGCACGGCGTACGCTACCAAGAACTTGAACAAACAGGATGTGTGAAGGGCCCAGGACTGCCACAGAGCCCAGGGAGGCTGATGGCTGCACCCTGCCAGCGAGGGGTGGACGGAACCTCGCGAGGCAGAGCTGCGCAGCCTCAAGTTAGGGATTGTTCCCAGCTCTCTGAGCAGCAGGGCTGTGCCTGTGGGCAGCGGCACGTGGAAAAGCAAAACTAATCGAGACAAAACAAACACACTGGAACTGAATGACAGTTCCAAGGAATCGCTGTTGACTACGAGCAACTGAACCCATGGCACAGCCCAAAATCCCAACAGTGTTACAAAAGAAGGCAGGCTGCCTGGCTGCTTTTCCACCCCGCTCAAGCCTTCACACAACGGAGGGGATACAGGTTTTAAGAACGGAGCCTTTATTCATGACACTGGAAAGATGTTTGAAAGCATCTGGTTTTCCATAAGGAGGAAAGGAAATCTGGCTTGCTACGATGCATTGATATAAAAATTGTGCCTCTAATACGAAAAAAAGGTTTGCATACTTGAGAGCACAGTACCATCAAGAATTCCTAACAGTATTTTTGACAGAATAGGGAGAACAAGCTCTCATGGACAGAACTTAATAGTACAAAACAATCACAAGCATCCTACAGTGAATTCTGACCATTTGTGGGCGCAGTTCCAGAAAAGGACACTCTTGAATTGTCGTTCACACAGCGTTGGCTTCTACTCTGCCAGGTCTTAATCAAGCCTTGAAAGGGCTCCATACTCAAAGCACAACAGACCTGAGTTTGGGTGGCCTTGACCCTACTGCGAGAAAAGTCCTGCAGTCAAAGTACAGTAGGATACAGAGATGCACAGAGATGCAGCAGGAGAATGCACCTGCTAAACAGCAAATCCAACACGCACACCAATTTCTGATCTACCACAGAGTGCTGTCCTGGGAGGCACTGAAAAATGACAAAACTACCATTTCTGTTCTCTGCTGCACAGCCATGCCAAACACGCACGCTGTTCTCTGCACACACGCTGCAGCCAAGGCCCCTGAGCAGAGCAAACGCTGCCTACAACACGTCGGGAGCTCCGCTTCCTGCTGCTGCCAAAGGCTGAAAGCTGGCTCTAAGAGCCCACAAATCAAACAGCTGTCAAAGAGGAGCCATCAGGCAGATAACAGCACGAACAAAATGAAGTCTCACACGCAGGCTGTGGCGTTCCCATGAAGTCACAGCTCCCCAAGAATCAAACGTGATCCTCTCTAGAAGTGTCGGGAAAGCTTGAGGCGTCGCTGCTGACAGCAGCCCTGCTGATTTTGGCTACTCTCACTACAGTCAAAAACTGGAAAAGCCCACTTTCAGGCAGGATCCATGCGGTGCTGCAGCCCAGGTGGGCTTTTTCTCTCCGTGAAAAGCCTTCACGTTAAGCTTACCTGACATAGGAAGTCACTAACTATCCTGTGAAACGTGGTACTCCTGAATCCACGAGCCTTTCTCCCCTGTGCACAGGGCCCTGAGCTTTTCAGCCGTCCGAGGGACAATGTGTGAAAGCAGCTCCGTGGCTGTGTGTCCTGAAGGTTCATCGCTGGCAGAAACGTCCAAATACACAACAACAGGGCCGGTGTCCTTTGACAGCTCCGCTGCCACAGAGAGCTGGCCCTTCTGCAGCTCTGACAAGCTCTGCTGGCATTCTTCAATCTGCTCTCGAAAGAATCAGCCAGGTCTTGAACTTCTAATCTGACCGCAACTCGCTCTACTTCCACTTCACCGTCTGAAAACAAACCCAAGAAGAGATTTCCTTAGCTCTACTCACTGCAGCCAGAGATCAGCAGCTTTTGTTCTGTAGGATCTCCAGGGTAAAACAAAGCCAAACTGCAGGAGAGACCGGAAAGAACTGTAAAAACCACCCAACCGACTCACCAGCATCACCTGTAGCTGTCCAAATTCAAGCAGTTTGATGTCTCAGAGGGCAATGAGTTCATTTCTGTGGCGATGACATGCTTTGCACACACCTCAGCAACTCGGCCCCTTCTCACGAGGCTCCTGGAATACTTCTGCTGTGTCCGGAAGAGGAGCTTCAGCTCTCCAAGAGCTCCTTCCGCTGAGCGGCATCTCTGGCCCAGCTGTAAAGTTCTGCCCTCTCTTTGAAGACAATTCCTTCACATTCTTCTCCAGACTTTACCTCCACCTAAAACACAGCACAGTAATGCGTGATTTCCCCAGAAGCCGTTGTCACCTACAGCACTGTTACAATTCTGACATCAGATAATGCAAAATTATTCAGCGTTTTCCTTTCTTCAGTGGCTTTGTACCCTCAGCTCGACGCTCATCATGCACTGAAGTGAATGAAAAGCCCTGCCTTCTCCAAATGGAAGAGCCCAACAAGTTCCAGCGTTTGAAATTCATTTTAGCAATGCAACACTGCCTGCACCACGCTGCATAGCAAGTTGTTTGATTCTTAAGCTATCCAGTGTGCTGGCCACAATTCCCCAGCGAAATTTCAGGCCTGCTGAATGATGTGCTAAGTGATAACGCAGCACTGTTAGCATCCCAGGTGCTCTCCTCTTAAAGACCGTGAAATAACTTCATGCTGGCATCTGACAGAACAAGAATCAACTGAAAATAATAAACGGAGGCCTCACAGCTGCATGTCCTCCACGCTTTCTACGTGCGCATTACTGGCTTTTAACATTCTTCAATTGACACATCTTCCAAAGCTACAGAAAAACTTGGAAGAACTGCAGAAACGCGTGACAGACAAGCATTTCTGGTGGGAGAAGTGACACCGAAGGAGAAAAAGAGCAGGTAAGGCGAGAAGAACCCCACAGAAGTCATACTGTGATGAAGAGATGAGGAAAGGCAGACAGATATTGAAGAAAGAGGAAGACGACATTCTGCAGACTTCACCAGATCAGCTGCTCCAATTAAAGGACACCACCTACTGTTTATTGGTGCTCTGAATCATTACACTAACCTGCAATTAAGGTCTGTTCTTTACAGGAGGCCAAACTAGAAGATTACAGTCATTGCAAGCTTCTCATCCTATTAGGCACGCTAGGGTCAAACACGAAATCCAGACACGAACAACTGTGTTAAGCCTTACAAAGCTACGCAAGGCTACTTCCAGTTAAACTCATCTCTACTTGAGCTTGCAGTTCTTCTCCTTCCTAAAAAGCTGCATCACCACCTCCTGGTAAATCCTGAGATACGTGAGCAGTTTCTGTGCATTCTGCTTCTTCGCTGCTCGCAGCTGACTGCACAAATTCCGCTGCTGTTCACTGGTTGCTCAGTATGTAAATCTGTACAAGGAAGGAAGAATAAGTCAGCACGATTAATAGAACAGGAAGCAAATAAGCCATGAGAGCCTAACTTTCAAACTACATTAAGGCTGGACACTAAGAATAACCGCTCCCTCCAATAAAGCCGCATTTCCCCCCTCCTCTCCCTCCCTCTCTCCCTCCCTCCCAGCAACTGATAAATTTCTCCATTTCTAATTACAACTGCAGTACAGAGAAATCATGACTGAAAGTTCTCAGTCTCCAACTTTCCTACAGCTCCTACAGCTCCTACTGCTTCAGAGCAGCTAAGTAACAGGGATTAAGGGAAGCGAACAACTGGGCAAAAAAACAAACAAGAACTCTTCATTACTCTTAAGACACACTCAAGCTGGACTCGACAAGAGACTGAAGTGCCTTTGGAGCAGTGCGATTCCAAAACGAGCACCATTTCCCTTGGAAACTGCTCTGAAATCCCTCCACTCTTACATACCTGCTAGGAGGAATTCTACCAGCCAAAGCCGTTTCTACTTTAGGAGGCAAAGCTGTTTCCTTTCTCTCCCTGAGACACCTGAGAAGCAGTAACACATTCCCTCTGCAGCTCAGGTTTGACTGGGGGGCCTGCTGCCAAGAACAAACATCAGTGGAAAACAGCTGATAAGACAGCTAAATACTGAGATCATTTCTGGCACGTACATTATGAAGCAACCTAACGATACTCAGAACATCTTGCATTCAGAGCTTTTGAAAAGGCATCCTTAGATAAAAAGACACTCATTCAGGATAACTAAGGAACTGTAAATCCGCCATGCTTTGGTTTTCTGCTGCTATCCAAGAACCTCCGTGCAATAATGAAGATTTCAAACTTGCCACTGCCACTACAGACACCAGCTTCCTTTGACATTTACTTATATTTCTGGTAGCCCAATATGTGCCACCTTTTATTACTATACAGACACTCACAGCCTCAGAAAGGGTGACTGGCCAAATGGAAGATGACAGGTTTTCTCAGTTGAAGTACTGTTAGAGTCTGTTGGTTCCAGCAGCACTATACTTTCCCCTTCCCTTTGAAATTCAAGTCTCAGACCAGGAACAGGTCAGCATTTTCATACCGTTACAAGAATCAGTGATGGCCTTACACCAAACAAAACACAGCTACAAGGAAGAGCCACACGGGAATCATCTGCAGAGGAAAAGCAAAACCAAGGACTGCAAAAGCCAGTCAGAAACGGAAAGCTGTCTGCAGCAGCTGTACTACCGATGAGCTCTGAGCATGTGAAATTCCAGAAGATCTGACACAGCGACTGAACAGAACTTATTTCACATCTCTTCTGGGAAGCACAAGAAAAACCAGGGCAATCCAAGGCATAAAGATGTAAAGCTACCGGAAAGGAATGGAGGCAGAGCAGCAGGATGCCTCCGAGTTGAAGGGATGACTCGAGTTGAAGCTGAAGCACACGTGCTGCTCTCGTAGTGGCCAGTCAGAGCGAGGCCTGCGCACATCCACTGCCAGTTCAGCTCAAAAAGGCACTCAGCACTTCACCCTGACATCTTAAACAGCGCCTCGCACACATTCCAAAATCCTACCCGCAGCTCCCTGTCTCACTGCAGACCAACGCTGAATCCTGCATAAGGCACGTTTCTGCTCTCACGTGCAAACAGCTACAGCTCAGCATCACTCAAGTTGAAAGTCTAGGATTTGGAGATCACAGACCTGCACTGGCACTGAAAGAATCGACGTCCTATTAAGACAGAAGAACTCAATGACCAGCACTAATGAATGACTGACTAATGAGCAGCACAGCTGAATAAATTACTAGCTCAGTTAACGCTCACCTTCTTCCAGAACTTTAAACGAGAAGTCGGAGGGCCCATCTTGTGCTGGAGGAGCCAGCTTGGATGCCTCGCTCTCCCAAGGTTCCTGAGCTGCACTGCAGCTTTTGGCTGCTTCAGCCACTCCCGGTTTTTCCTGCTCTGCTTTCTGAGATGTTCAAATTCCATCAGCGCTCCTTCCTGGAGGATTAAAGCCGAATCCAAAGAGGGAACCGATGGCCGAGGTCTTGCCAGATGGGAATGTCTTTTCGTTACTGAAAACGCTCTTGACACATTCAGACCTCAATACAAACTTTGGAGCAGACACCACGGTTTTTCTTGGCGTTTCACAGGTGCTTAAAGCCTCTGAGGCCTCTACAGCGGCATCAGAACCATCACCACCATGGCTGAGGTCGCTGTGTTCCCTGGTAGCTTCCTCCAGCACAGCTACAGAGTTGGCACCACAAGGAGACGCTTTGGCTGCGTTCGTACCAGAAACATGAGCTGTTATCCACGTGCCTTTCTCACAGCTGGGCTCACTCTTGTCCCTGTTTGCTGTTTCTTGAGATTGGAGTGTAACTCCACCACCTGAGGGCAGTTCATTTTTGTCTTTTCCATCCATGTTTGTCAAGCCTGCTGTACGCTCCTTGGGCGGATCGTCTTCCTTAGCGCAATTTGTATTGCACTCCTCTATGCCAAATTTAAATCCACCTGGAGGCATCCACACTGAGAAGTTACATCTTCCCTCTGCAGGCTCCGCTTCAGCATCTGCCAGATTCTGAGAGGTACACGCTGGGGTTTTCCCATCGAGTTGAAAGGACAGTTCTTGAAGAGATACTGCTGAACGAGTTTTGTTTGCGTTCTGCAGGGCAGCACATTTTGGGGCAGCGGGTTCATTTCTCACTGCAGAGATGTTACAGTCCCACTGCCCTTCCTTTGTCGCAAAGGCGGATCCTAATTTGTCCTGTGCGGCACTGACACAGGACTCTGCAGGTTTTAAACCTGTGGGTGCAAACGCAGGTCTTGTAAAACAGCCTGCTTCAGGCAGAGGTGGATTTGCGCTCGCCTGGGGCAGGCCGTAGTTGTAGCGATCATCACCTCCACGAGGAGAAAGGATTCCAGCAGACGGAGCATCAAAACACACAGGTGCACCACAGGTGCCTTGAGGAAGCACAGCAGCACAAGTGCTGTGCAGAGGCGGCGCGTGGATCGCTTGTTGCTGAGCACGTCGACGTGCTGAGGTGCAGCTCCGTTCGTGCCACAGACAGGCGCCTACAGAAAAACACACCGTTACTTCCTCGTGCAAAAGCCTGCTGCTTCAGGCTGGGAAGCAAGATTTCCCTTCAGATATTTGCAAATTTCTTCCTTACACTCTCCCTGTAATTAAGCCACTCTTCTAGCATATGGGCTGACAGCAGTCCCAAGGCATTTTCAAATCCAGTTCTCCAGAGTTACTGTGAATTTTTATTATAAGGGCGCTGCAATTGTCCTCAAAATAAGTAGCTGTCAGTCTCACCTATTCAGGAACAATTCAGCCCGATGCCCGGTGTTTTCTTGGTTTTCATCTACAGCCCATAGGACAGTGAAGACTGAAAATGACTGCCTCAGCTTTACCATAATAAAAAAGAAAAAGAAAGAAAGAAAAAAAGAAAGGAAAAAAAGCAGCAAACCTGTTGGAACAAAGAAGGGAACAGAAGTGACAGGAAAAGAGCAGTATTTTCTTTTACACTTGGGACGAGCAGTGCTTACAAATAGTGTATTAGTAGGCAGAAACCAGCAGACTAGGAGACACTGGAAGTCAAATTCTATCTTAACGTCCTGCAGACACAAAGAAAAAGCCCAGTACGTGTCAGGATCAAACCGCTGCTTGCAATTCATACGCAGCCAAAATGCAGAACGTTTCATGGTGTGTTCCAAGACGCCAAGCGTGCTCTTTAACAAGCCTTTAACTCTGACATGAGCTGCTCATAAGATTAAAGCAGAACTACGGAACATCTGTAATTACTGGTTTCATTACCACACTGGCTTTTTCGGTCGCAGGCCAACATTTCCAGCACATCTTGCCCAGCCCCATCTCCTCTTATTAGTTTTGACTTTGGTTTAGGAATCTGGCGAGCAAAGAAAAGAATTGCTACAGCTTCTTGACAACAAAAAGCAAATCTCTTCATTTAGTCTTACAAGTTAGGAAACAAGCTTGTTTCTTTTCAGGAAAGGACACGAGGTGAGAAACTGAACGATTGCAAACAGCTGTAAGAGCGCACAAGAGAAAGCGATGTTCTGAGCGCAAGCACTTGTGCAAAAGGAAAACTGATTGCATTCCATAAAGCACAGAATTCAGCTTCATCAAGCTCTGCTGTCTATGCAAGAAGTGTGCGAGAGCTACTCGGGTCATTCCCCTCCCTCCCGTATCAATAACCTTAATGTCAGTTAATGCGGCTGCATTACAGAGAAGGGAACAGCCTACAGCAAATACACTCGTTAGCCCTTCAGAGTCGTTGCACTGCTGACAAGTGAAACAGCTGAGATTTTCTTCACCCCACTTGAAATCTTTCCAACAAGTACGGAAGAGTAAGATTTGGCGAGGAGACAGCCTTAAAAACAGCAGCTAGTTTTTGGAACGCAGGCGTTCAGTGCGTGCACAGCGAGAGCACTCAACTGCAACCACTGCAGGCACAAACGGAACAGGGACCGACACGGAAAGCGTTCAGGTACCACCAGGCTGCGAGTTCACACGCATCTCTCCATCGTGCCGCGCTGCTCTGCGCTGTTTCCAGCAGGAAAGTTCCAGCACGCACGTAGAAGCGTCCCGCTCCGCACAGCGCCGGCCTCGCGACCGCCGCCTGCAGCGCGACGTCAAGGCGCCCGCGGAGCCGCTCGTCTCCAGCGAGTTCCCCAGCGCCATCGCCGGGCCGCGCCGCCCGCCCGGACGCCCCGCTCCCCCACCTGCCGGCGGCCGCCAGCCCGCGCTCGCCGCTCTCCAGGAAGGCCCGCACGGAGCGGAGCGGGGCCGGGGCGGCGCGGGCTCGGCCTCGCTGAGGTCCCCCACGTCC